CACACACACACACACACACACACACACACACACACACACACACACACGCCCACATTCCTCCCAATTTGATAAACGTATATATAAATAAATGCACTAAAGTCAAGATGTGGCCTTTAAGGACAGCATTCTTGATGTAATAACTCTTTTGTAAAAAGTCTCAGAAAGCAACCGCGAGTTACTTTAGAGGGTCAGGAAGGAGTCAAACAGTGGGAGAGGAAGGACACAACAGGTAGGAAACAAGCAAGACTGGCGGGCACAGAAACTCTGCAGGAGGAGACTTAAGTATAAGAGCTGACAGAAAGAAAAAGAGACCTCAGTCACTCCACGAGAAGCTGTGAGTGCTAGCGGTCTGCGACAACATGAAGATAGTAGATGTCCCCGAGGAAGGAAGGCGATGTTTCATCTTTAGGGAGGCAAGTCAAGAGAGGAAGAGAGAAGAAATAAGAGGTGAGACAGAGTAAGAAGAAAGTCTTTAGGTGCAAAGGCGAGGGCAATAGTTAGGAAAACAACGTTGGAAAGGTAGAAAACGGTAAAAATGCTGAGTACTGTAATAGTTACACTGTACCACGTTTAGCAACAACTGTCATTTTAATGTGTAGACGGCAAAATTCACAGCATGCCATGTCTTACAGCTATCAATACAAATATTAAATTTGTACATTTTTGATTGATTCTGCAATTTTAACATTTGATATGGACAAAAGCAAACATTTTAAAAAACAAACACTGTATCAAGTATATATTGTACAAGACTGCATTAAAACTGCCCTAAAATATGCGCTAAACATTTGGTTTGGTTTATTACTTTTCCCAAATAAAACTGGTCTAGACACAATTTAAAGTGCGGAACGCACGCAAAAGGTCAGCGCATGCCTCCAAACATTTACAGCTTGGAGAAACACATTAGCCTCACGGGGAGCTAATTGAAGCGACAAATTATCTTCTGGAGGAAATGGGAGGAAAATCAAACTGTCCCTATCAAATGAAGTCATGCCAAAAACGGCTAAGAACATTAAAACCTGATGTTAAAGATGCAGTGGAAAAGAAAAACACAACCCTGTGTCCCTGTGTTAATAGTTCCATTAGCTTGCACCAGGCCAAATACAGTATACGTATCATAAAAAAAATACATTTACTTTTCTCCAGTAAAATGTTTAAATATTTTTGATGTCTCATCATAAATTTTGGGGCGTATCCATATATTTCCTCAATCAGATGAGATTTAATGTCTAGCTAACCCCATCTATCATATAAGGACACTTTCCCATTAGCTCCAGTGTCATAGTTGCTAGCAGAGTACCATCATGGATCAGAGGTTTGTGTTTAGTTGTCAGCTCGAAAAAAAACAAAACTTAGTTGTGGTGTAATTCTTTAATTTGTCCCTCATCCACAGCCTCCTGATATAACAACACAGGCGAGGGAGTTGTTGGTGGAGGCCAATAGTCCTCTACAGTGAAGCTTTGCTCCATGTATACAAAGCCATGTCCACTTGAACAATCCAAGAAAATGTAAAGGATTTGATTTATATCCATCTCATAACTATACCCCCAACCATGTTAAAGATGCTCCATTAACGACGACCAAAACCTTGGGAAAATAATCGTTAAAATATCAAAAACTGTTACTTTTGAGCGTCGTAAATCTGGGACAGAGGGAGAGAGAGGGAGAGAGGGAGAGAGAGAGCAAGTGAAGTAGAGTGCAAATGTGTGTGTCAGGCCAAGTGTGTGTGTCTCAGCGCTACCTGTCGAGCGTGGGGCCCACGAGGCTTGCGGAACACCACAAGCAGGATCTCTGGCAGTAGGCTGAGCAGGATGAGCAAGATGATGACCAGCCAGGCGGACACTGAGCTCAGCATGTTGGCGAAAACAAAGTACAAACGTTGCTGCTTCAGGAAAGGCCTGCAGGAGAGAGAACACTTTAGTTTTACACCGACTGAAAGAGCAACAGGGATTGAATAGAAAATGAAAAACAGGTCAGCTGCATTGACTATGTAAGTTATCTTATGCAGAGTTGTTTCCTTACCATATTATTCCTCCCCAGAAGAAGCTGAAAAACACGTAGAAAAGCAGGGAGCCCCAGATTACAAAGTGGTTGATCCATGTCCAGTGCCGTGTGTCCAGAGCGAGCTAGAAGAGCAGAGGAAAGTCACTAAATGTGCATGTTTAATATCCCACATGCTTTGCCAGTCAGTGTTCAGCAAGACAATAAATCAACTTTAAAATCTCCTGTGTTCTGTTCTAATGATGAACCCTTTCATAAAATAAATAAACAGGGGAGTGGCTTACCTTAAGTGTGACAGTGAAGACAAGGACAGTGAAGACAATTGTTCCATATGACCAGTTGCCAAAAACCTAGATTTAAATAAGGCAAATGAGCAAGTGTACTTAGGAGACGATGCTTAATCAAGTAATGTAATTATGGAGGTGAATTAAATCAAACCTGGCCGTTATCCTGCAGTGCTGGGTTGCTGAACAAATATCGAACACCAAAGAAGAAGAGCAAGCCGTGGAAGACTCCAAGCAAAGTCCAGTAGAGGAACGGTCTCCACTGTAACATGCCATTCTTAGCAATCTCTCTAAAGAAAGACATGAAAAAGAAAGATGAACAATTGTAAAGTCCTTATATTATAATGTATAATTCAGTCTCCTTGCATATAATCTAATTCATCAAAAGGGAAACAATTAAATATTTGAGTGAGGAATGTGAACAGCTCTCTCTAAACCAAAACTCCCACTTTAATGTGTAATGTAATTAAAATGCCCAGTTAGTATAAACATCAAAAAGCTAATGTAGGACCACTTATTTGTGTTAAAGAAGCAGAAATAGCTAACCAAAATATCAATCCCCTTTTCAAAATGTCTGTGTAAATTTAGCATTTTGAGAATTAATCTATGGCTAAAAAGTATAAGTTATGGCTCAGCCGTCACATTTTAAGTTTACCGTTTCCATCTTCTTTTTTTACTTCTCTTAACTTAAAAACATAAAGACTAGCCATTCAAAATAGCGATCCTATAACTGAAACATGAACTTATTAATATATATAAATATTGCCACTTAACAACTGCAAGTAAGCGAAGGTTCCCAGGTTTACCTGTAGAGGGTAGCGTTGTCCAGCAGAACCTCAATGCAGATGTGCTGCTCCAGGAGACTGTAAGCCAGGATGGGCATAGAGGTGAAGCAGATGTTGTACATCGTCAGATAGGCCGCGTCATACAGGGGCTGGGGAGGATGGGAGCAGGAGGGGGGACGGGTTGATGAGGAGGAGGAGGAGGAGGAAGGGGGACGGGGGAACTGGGGGTTAATATCATGGAGAGGACCAAACTCGAACACACAATCATACTTAACCATACAGTGTGTCATATAAGCAAGCTTGTATACATATTTCATGTATTTATGGAAGATTTATGTCAGGGGTCATGTGGCATGAGCGAGAATAAAATATTCACCCTCACAACTAGAAATATGAAAACATAAATCAGTAATCTTAAAATGATGATATCTATATTAATTAATGCACTAACTGACATTTCTATGTCAGGAGCAGTTTTTATATGAACACGGTGCCATAAAACATTTATAAAATACTTTTACTTCTCATTAATAACAAAACTGAATTTATCAATGTGCTCCAAATTGCCATCAGGTCTACATGACATTGTGTTTTTAACAGTGTGACAACACTCACACGCAGACGCGCGTACATGCCACCATGATTACATAATAGCCACATATGTTGTACTACGGTAGCAGAACATGACACATGTCTGTATTACATTCTAACGATGCAGTCAGAGTCAGTAAACATATCAGTCAGAGCTCAGACATCCCAGGGGGCAGAGAGGAAGGACCAATCTGAGGAAAGAGTCAGAAGGACGAGGAGGTGTGGATTCAAGGGATACCGCCTCCTTTCATGTTCAGAACATCTTTGAACCTCAAAGGGCCTCGGGGACATACTCACTTGCTGGGAATAGCCACAGAAGAACTGGTACAAAAACTGAGGTAAGATGAAGCAAAGGTTCTGCAGGCGAACAGAGAAAGAGAAAAGTCTCACACATCAAATGCATTAATAAGTTCCCATGTGCTTATGATGTAGGTACAATAATTCAATACATTAACCTGAGTTCAACCTAGAAACTGTTTAATTATTTAAAGAGGATTGGTTGTGTCAAACATGTCACCAGATGATCCCTCAAATCAAGTTAGTTTCTGGGTTTGTTTGGGAAACACAGGCTTTGGTGAGACACAAACTAAGGCTGAAGAATAATAGATATGAAGTCATTGTTCCACCTACCTTGTAAAAGAAATATTGCACCAGGTGTGCAATGCGGACATAGTAGAGATGCCCATGAGCCAACAACAGTTTCTTGAGGTGCTTGAGTTTGGGGATGGCATAATCGCTGTTCCTCACTGCCTGCCGACCCTCTTTACCCTTAATACCTGGAACACCAACAACAAATGTCACACACTACCAGGCCATCATCACCACCGTCCCGAAATAAAAAGAAAACTGACCCGTAGTAAATCTGATTACATAGATCCAATTACATAATGACTGTTTTTCCATAATTACTTCAAAAAACACCCTGAAAATGATTACATTAAAAATGAGTCATATTTTATACATATATTTTAGTTTTTAGAGAGAGACAGAGAGAGGGAAAGAGACCAGAGCGTGGTTGGAATTTGTCCCCGTCTTTGTGTCTTCCGTGTTACATCGTGTAGGCTACTCTCACAGTTCTACATTGAACACTTCTTCAGAGATCGCCCAGTCCCAGTTTTTTTTTTTTTTTTTTTAATCATCATCCATCTTTTTTCCGTTCGAGCCCTGCACACTACCTTCACCAAAAAGTTACCTTTCCCTCCATTTGGAACAATAGTTGAGAGAGAGAATGAAACTTCTTACCAATGCCAACATGAGCTTCCAAAATCATGCTGACATCATTGGCCCCATCTCCAATGGAAAGAGTGATTGGGCTGCCTTTAGAATTCTTCACCATCTTAACGATCTAAAGATGGAGCGAGACAGAGGACAAAAGTCTTTCAAAAACCTGAAACCGAGTGTTCACTGTGAAAACATTTTTTTTGAATACATATTTCCCACATTTTCACCCGATTGTTCTGACCTGTGCCTTTTGTAGAGGAGCCATGCGGCAGCAGAGCACAGATGTGCAGTTTTGACAGATCTGCAGGAACAGGTTCTTGTAGCTACTTGAGTTGGACTCAGAGAAGGCGTTGAGCACCATCGACAGAGTGGCTCCGTCTATGATGAAACCATAGTCCTGGTTTGCTGAAGACCAGGTCCTACAAAAGAGAACAAGGAAATAGATTCAAGTTTAATCATCCATGACATTCAGATTGGTTAAATAATCAACCGAATACAAGAACAAAGTATCGTAAAATTACCTGGTGACGCCTGCCTTAATCGGTGGTGCATCCTGAACAGCTTTCCTGTGGTACTCAAGCAAGAGCTCATGCAGTCGCTCCTCCCGCTTCCTCCCTCCATCCTCCAGAGTACGCACAGTAAGCTCCAACAGCTCTGTGCTTCTCTGGAACAATCTACAAGCATAGCAGGTGGACTTTGCCGTCTCCATCTTGTCCCCCGTTAGGACCCAAACTTTAATACCTGCACCCTGCAGAGCCTCCATGGTCTCCGCTGCCTCCTCTTGGAGTCTGGGGGATAAGAGAAAAAGTAAGAGTTAGTGGAAGACAAACCAGTTAAACAAAACTATGGACATCAGGGTTAATTTCCCAGGAGTTTTAGTGCATTACAATATCGCAAAGGGAGACAGCTTTATGACAAAGAAAACAGCTGTTTCACTGGTGCAAATGGAACTTAAATGAGGTTGAGATTGTCTTTGCTCAGACAGATGTTAGAAGGGACTTTGGGACATGTGACATATTGGTAGGTATCAACATAACCATGGTCTCATTTTATACTAAATGTACCAAATTCACATAAATCATTCATGAATGTTTAGGTTGGCTTTAAATAAATAAATAGAAACAATAGTATATTTAAGGAGTTTGATATTCACCTCCTGTTCCTCCAATAATCTGAGATGACAATAATTACTCGCTGATGTAAATTAATTTACTATTTCAGATGAAATGCATTGATGCAGGCTGATTGCGTTGGTTAATGAATTTTCAAAATTCAATAGTAGTCTTGGATTGTACCCAAATTCCACCACAAGTTGGCGGTGTGAGCTTACATAAATAAAGTTCATAATAAAGGGGACTTTTGGCTGTCACCATTTCTCAGGTGAAATTAGAGAAGCCGATTCACAGGAGGTAAAACACTACCAGGAATCTGGTGACGTGTGGCAAAAGGCATGAGGAAGAAAAATGGTTCTGAAAGGCCACTACTGTAAAGTGTTGAGGTTGCATTAAAAGGAGAGAAAGGAGGAATGTGTTCATTCCAGCAAAACACCAAAGAGGCAATTATAAAACAGAACAGGACGTTTATGACACGTTTATTGTTGGCATCTGCCAACGTTTGCCCTCTCCTGTCAATTTTAGGTGTATTCTGTGAGAGTAAGGACCCCCTAAAATTCTTGGCACTGATCTTTATTGAGAGAGAGAGAGAGAGAGAGAGAGAGAGCGAGAGAGAGAGCGAGAGCGAGAGCGAGAGCGAGAGCGAGAAAGGGAAGGACAGCAGCTGCAAGCAAGATAACAAACATTTGTCAACTTTAAACGTCAACAGGTATATCTGTGAGAGCTGTCTGACTATGTCGTGTGAGCACCCACCGATCTTCTACAGCAGTAGCTCCTATTAGACTCATGCCGGTCTCCACTTGGTTGTAAACAGCCATGAGCTTCGCCTCTCTGTCCTGCAGAGCCAGTCTAGCTTCCCTCAATCCTGCGTCTGCCTGGGCGTAGTCCTCTGCACTGAGATATTTGCAGGCCACACACAGTGTCCGGTAGCCCTCCTGAACAGTGAAACACACAGCACCCGGTGTTTCAACAAGAAGAAAACCATCTGTTTTTACATCATTTTACTAATCAAATAAAAGCTGTCTAACCCTAGAATTATACAGTATATACTTAAGTAAAGATAACAGGAATTAAGAGGAAATTTGCTGATGTCACTCACTGTCGCATTACGCTCCACATTCATGCGTATTCTTTCAACCTCCTCCTGTTTGACGCGAGGAAAGATGGAAGAGTCTGCTCCCTTACAGAAGAGCAATGTATCACCTGGACATAAAAAACAAACACAAACACACAGCATGGTGAGGACTGAGGGCCAACATTAAATCACGGTCAATGCAATAAACCTGACAGCAATCTCAAGCTCACCTGATTTGGATCTGACAATTACACTCATTCGCCTTCTCACTGGGTCAAAGTTCAACACGTGAAGCAGTTCGTACCTGCCGAAGGTACAAAATGGAAATAAAAGCTGAAGTGCAAAACATCAATAAAACTAAAAACGTCGTTTGTGAAATGACAGACTTACGTTTCAATATCATTGTTCCTGGTGAGAATTTTCATGTTTTTACTTTCCAGGCCCAGAAATGTGAAGCCAAACCTGCAGATGGAGACAAATCATCTCAAATGAGCCTCTTGTGTACCCATGTCCTCTGTGAATTGACTGCATACCATGCACGATTTTCAAAATCCATTCTGTGATATTCATATTCAAACCACACGCTTGCTCTTTGAACTATTGTTAAAATGTCAGTTTGTCTCATTGAGTCATAACAGCCCATCTCTTACCTCATGGCACCCTTGACCAGAGCAACCTCATCAGGCGAGGAGGCAATAAAGCCTCTCTGCTCCCGCAGTGGATGGAGCACCTCTCCATCCACCTGGTCCATCAGTCCGTCCTCCTGGCCTTGACCCTGCTCTGTAGACTCCTTCACCTGCACTGTGTGGCACAGACACAGGGCACGCAGAAACAGCTCCTCCTTCTCCTGATAACACCACATGAACAGGGCTTAGTACAGTAAAGAAAAAGATGCGGTTTATTATAATAAAATGAATGTATGAACAATCTTTAATGAACCACCATTTTAAATGTAACCCTTACACACACACACACACACACACACACACACAATATTCTCTATAATTATCAGTATGGATTCCTTAAAAGAAAACAACTTATAGGGCACTTTTAGAACGTACGGATTTAATTTTTAGGGCTTTATATAATGGGTATATTTTAAAACAATTTTTTTAACCAGGTTACTTTACAGATAGAACTGTCATGGTAGTGTTTTTAAGCGACTCCGCGACTACGTTCTTAATGGTCGTTAAATGTCAAAAAGCCTAATTTGTTGTTATTTGAGAAATAATGAACGTTTCATCAACATGTTTTTTTTAGATATTCTGATTGATTTTGTCTGCAAAAAGGTCACCTCTCTATGAAAAATAAGGTTTTGTACACAATACACATTTACAAACATTTTAGTTTAATGTATCCATATTTAACATTTTACGGGCAAGTACGTTTCAAACTTATCTCTGCAAAATATTGCTGCTGCAGAAACAGTTTACTATTCAAAGCCGTTCTTTGCAGCCGTCCTACTAATTGCAGTTGTTGACTGTTTTTTTACATCCAAATTCCTCAAACCTGTATATTTGCGTTTAATGTAAGAATACAGATTTACCTCATAGTTTAAGGTAGATTCCTCTACATTTGATCTTCTGTTTTAACTACACTTCTACTGGTTATTGTATATGTTTATATTTCATCTTTTGTATGTCCTGTGGGTGTGTTTTTTTATATACAGTATATATAAAAGCCATTACAGGTTTGTACCACACCCTCACATGTACTTTATATTTATTTCTTGTGATTTGCATTTGTGTGTGCAAATACAAAATGTATTCATTTACAGCCACAAATGGAGCCATATACAGTAGCTGGAGTTGAGAAAGCCCTGGATTTACAACCATTTGTGATAATTGACTTCTTATCAACATGCTTGATAATGGGCAACAGTCTGTAAATTGTTATCAGCCGCTCATGTCGAGATCAAACAGCCACATTGCTCCGCCTCCATGTTGAGTGCTTATGTTGACATGTCAAGGAGACTGCATGTGGCTGACCTATGAAGGGTCTTTCTGAGCAGCGAGCTATGTAATGGCCATATGTTGCTGCATGTGTGCCTTTTACAACAGATGGAGGGACACCACAACACCCACCCTGCCAGCTTTGTCCTGCACTTTGTTCACAGGTCCATCTGTGACACAGAATCCGTCCAACTCGGAGCTCGCGTCCGGGTACTTGTACTGGAAGCCGTCGATGCAGCACTCTATGAACTCCATGTTGTTCTGAGTGAGGGTGCCCGTCTTGTCTGTGAAGACATACTCCACCTGCAGGCAATGTGATGCAAATACATGACAGGCTCTTCCAAACCAATAAAGATTCACTTTCCCATTTAACAGGTTCCAACGATAAGATTAGGCAATCACTCTCAGAAAGCATTACACTGCATTAATCAGTTTAACGAAGCATCACCTTTAATTGAAGTAATCATCAGCCAAACCAAGTGTGACTGATGTATGGCAGCACTGTTTGAGTTAAGAGGTGCCATAAAAACAAGAGAACGGCCGGTCTGGTGTTATTATAAGCAGTTCATATTTTACAATTGCATTGTACCAAGCAGCATTGTACCACGTTTTAATGGACTCGACCATATCTTACATATTTTTGTAACTCCAGTTGTGAACTATAAGCAGGTTAACATAGAAGCCTTTTTTCCGTTACATGCTGCCTATGAATGTATGAGATTTGAGTGGTTTATGTGCAAAATAATTTCCTTGAAATTTTGAATAATGCGTGCGTGACATACAGCTGCTGTGTTCCATCTCCACATGCAGGTGTTTAGCACCCCTTGTATATCACACCCAGTTTTAAAATGGTGAGTTTGTGGAAATTAATTCCTCAATGACTTCCATTTCTGACATTTGAATGTTGTTTCATTTCATTTTGACCATCCGTCTGCCTCACCTGTCCCAGCTCCTCGTTGAGGTCTGACGTGTTGACCAGTGCTCCCTCCTTGATTTCCGGATCAAAGAAGTCTTTGTCCCATGTGATGAAAAAGGATCCCAAAAACTTTTGCATCTCAACCGTCACATACATGGATACCGGAATGATGAAGTTGAAGAGCACCATGAAGGACAGGAAGTCAGTGAACATCTTTAGGTACTGTTGGGGGAAAAAAACGAGAACACAGGCACATATTTAAATGTATATCTAAACTTGACTACATCGTGCATAACATAAATCATCATGTGTTTAAATTGCCCTGGAATATTCAATGTAACAACAAATATGAAGACATGTTGGAAATCACAATGTTCATAGTTCATCGAGGGCTAGGGAAGAAGGTTATCCGCCAATAAAATCGACCATGTCACAATGTAGGTCTGCAGTGGCCATTTCGCTGAGAGTGGTATTAGTTTAGAGCTTGTAAAACACTATAATACAATGAAACTGCAACCTCTCCAAGTTACAACGAGAAGCTTTCACAGGGTAAGTATTTACCACATTAACACATCCCTTCTAGGTACAGTAACATTTGCAATAAAGATAATACAGAGTACTGGTGCAATGCTACCAAGACCTATTAGCTATTCTTCTCCCGGTGGGAATTTGTGTACGTCTTGGTTTGAACTGTTGTGGTGCCTGTCAGACTCTGAACTCACAGTTCATTGCTTTGACAACAAGGACGGGCCGGTTTGCTCACCAGATTGGTGTCCTTCTCTCTCTGGGTTTTCTCGTTGTACCAAGGCTCATCCTGTCCGGGCTTGTTCTGCCACACATACTTAAGTGTCGTGCACACTAGGGCCTTGCTCACCAATATGCAAAGGTAAACCAGAAGGAAGGCATTGATAGACCTGAAGAAATAACAAATAAATCAAGTTAATGAGTACCAAATGTAATGTCACGTATTTTTAACTTGTTCACGTCATTTTCTCTAAACTTACTTCTCCACAGCAGAGCGTTTCTGAGACTTTCCCTGGTAGTTGAGAGCCATCTTTGTCTCCATGCCAGTGTAAATCGCCACACCTTGAGAAGTAAAAAGTGAGAAGGACGATTGGCTTTCTAGCTATCGTCACTAAAATATTGCAATAAAGTCAATATCATTTCACTCACCACAGATCTTCTGAGTGTTCTTTAAAGTTGCCCCTTTCAGCAGGAGGTTTTCTGGGCCCAAAGACCTGCACAATCACATCAGTAGATCAAACAGTTGCAGAAGCTGTGCAATCCACACACACCTCTATTCTCTAAATGGAAACCTGACAGGGAAGCTGGCCTCCACTCTAAAATACGCAGTGACAATACACAGTAGGACTGCAGTCTGGGCTTACACCAGTTCCAGTGTTCTTGAGAAAGACATTGGCTTTTGTTTATATGGTCATTACAAAGCAGTCAGTGATAGATGCCTGTGGGAGTGCTTTGGAAGCAGTGGCTGAACCCATGCCAGCCTGTTTTAATTTTTCATGTTTGTCTGGTAATGAAGAATCGATGGAATAATGATTTGTTGGCGATACAAAGGGAAACAAATGAGTGCTTAAGCAACTGTGTTTTCATTTTGCTCTCACTCAAAGTGGGCTGAGGTTGTTGTGCATGAGTTCTCTCACCTTGCTGCCGACTCCTGATCGTGTCCGTCGATGTTCATAATGCCGACAAACCTGGAACAACATGACATACAGACTTTATTTTTGTTGCTTATGTTATTCAATCTGTTAATACCAGAGCATATTTGAACTGAAGGTATCCAAATCTATGCAGAGTTCATTTACTTCAGAAAACTGTAAGTACTCAGGTGCAGAGGTTTAGGAGCCAGCTAATTAGTGGTGGTTAGCCAGCAGCATGCTGTCAGTTTCATTGACTGAATAGCAAGCGTTTGGCACCATGGCTTACACAGCCCTAGCACGTCTCAAACACCATTCTGATGTCTGGCTAAATGATAATATTCTGTCCCTTTGCCCCAAGGGGGAGCCAAAGGCTGTCTGTTGACTCAGCTGAGAGTCCGACAAGACAATAAGAATCACCTCTACGCTGGGCAGATCACAGATTACTGGAGACACCAAGCCCACACCTGCCGTTCCTAATGTGAAGCGCACACCAAGGCTTGCCAAAACCTCTCCACTTAAAAATCTACATGTTAATATTACAGTAATTTAGGACATTTTCAACTGGCATTGAGTGAAGCCATTGCCCAACGAACATAAGCAACACATGCTTGTGGTGTGAATCTGTTGGGGCCACATGATGAGTTCCTACTTGTAAAGGTCAGGCTGTGGCTGTTCACACTCGATGGTGGCGTTGAGAGTTTCCAGATCCTTCTCTGTGTCTGGCACCGTGTAATGTGTCTGAACGAGTGGAAGAGACAGAGAGAGAGAGAGAGAGAGAGAGAGAGAGAGAGAGAGAGAGAGAGAAAGCGAGAATAGGAGTGAGCATTGACTGGCTCAGGTCAAGTTATCATTATCGTCAAGTTTGCCCTCCCCTACCCCTCACACGCAGACAAGGAAAATAGGATGCTCTGCTATACGGACTTTCCACTCTCCTAATAAGCGTCACATTATAAAAACATAAAGTATAACTATAGCTAATATAACTTAATGGCACGGCCCATCTTACTTTATGGTTGGACTCTCCATCCAGACTCGCTGTGGTAACGAAACATGTGTCGTCATCTCGGCTAGACTGCAGCAGTATTAAATCACAGGGAAAGGTCTCGTCTTCCTTCACCTCCACAACATCTCCAACCTGATCAAAGGAAAACAACCAAACACAACTTACAAAGACTTTTCACAGGTTGCTTTCTCCTTCTTCTTCTTCTTCTTAGGCCCCAGATCAATAGGATTTGGCACAGGATGAGTTTAAACAATCACAGCTTTACCACCAGGGAGCAGAAGGACTCCAAAATAAACATACATCGCTGCCAATTTCCTTTCAACTTGTTGTGGCTAATTTGTTTTAACTTAAAGATATAGCATAAACAGAGCAACATGAGCATCCGTGAGTCTGACCACTGATCAGTATTCACTCCCCTTTTAGCTCTGGTTTGGTCAGCTAACATCTGACAAAATATCTGGCTCTACGGCTTGCTAAATGTTTATTTTAGCTGTTGTCCGTTTCACACTAGGAGGTAGCCTACATTGAACTATCGTGTGCGCTCCTGTGCGGGAAACAGCTGTACAAAGTTTCATACAAAGCAACAATGTTTTGGTTTTGACAGCTGGATGTAGATTCCCAGTGGTGGTTTAACATAACCAGGAGTCACATATACATATGCGTGTGTGTGTGTGTGTATATATACATACGTATACATGTATAAATGTTGTTTAATGCATGTTTAACTTTTAAACATTCAGAAATCTTTGAAAACACTGGTGCAGAGCAACAGATAAGAATACATTGGCGAACTAACCTGCACACAACACCCTGGATAAATGAATTACCATCACACCCATGTTTGAACATCTAATCAGTTGAGCATGCAGAGCATTTTCTCCCCTGTGCTTATATTCCAAACACAGTCATGACAAGCTGCCAGCAGCTTCTTACTGGCCATGTCTCTAAGGAAATGTTTATTCCAGTGGATGTGGCTGCTGAAAGGTACCTTGATCTTCTCACTGTCCTTCTGTATCCTCCGGCCTTCCTCTAGCACCGTCACTGGGAACTTATTCACCTCATTGTCAGCCTTGTGTCGCAGCCAGTCCTCGTAGCCCTACACCAACATATCAAAATAAGCATTGAGTTATTTGCTTGATAAAACAAAAAGTACAAACTTTTGTCTCTGAGGGACAGGACATTGACATCAGCATATACTCTCACACAATAAAGGTTTGACAGGACCTCTCACCAAGAGAAGAGGACAAGACACAAAGAAATGTCCGTGCATACAATATAATCTTTACATTTAGTATTTCATCATTATGTGAAAAAGAGCAGAATGCGATAGCGATTGTCCAGCAGTGCATTGGAACAGTATGCCATGAAATAATACTGAATCGGATAAAAAAAAAAAATAATTCCTGGGGCTGCAGAAGCATAAGGCAACAAAGCCTAGTGTACATTTGAAGTAGTGTAACGACCACTTCAAAAGACAGTCAAGTTTTTAACCTTGTTAGCATGTCCATATAGTGTCATATCAGACATATCACGAGCAAAATAAGCAGTCAACGCTGTTGCTTAACGGTATTTTATAAGGGACCCTAATTTCAAGGCCCACAAAGGAGGTGATATGCATTGAAACACACACAGGACCATATTACTGATGCAGCAGTCAGCGCGTGACGGTGACCAATATTGTTTGGCTCGTTTAAAGTACAAGCTTATACAAATGGATACAATTCAGGATTCTTTAAATAACTATATTACATCAGACTCAAAAAAGGTTAGCTCTAGGGGTTTACTCAATGCCAGCAGAAGAACTTTAAGATAGCGATAGAGAGATGGTGCAAAGATGCAGAGGGTAGAGACTAGAGAGGGAACCCAGAGTGTGTGCCAAGGTGGAGCTCGAGCCAGAAAGCAGAAGTACCAGGAAAGGTGATGGGAGGAGAGAGAAAGTCTGGATGAGTGATGCAGAGAAACGATGCCAGGTGGATGAAAGGGGAGAGGGGAGGCCTTCCACGGATGGTCAGTTGAACTGTACAGTTCACCTACGCCTAACTAATAGAGTCGGGCGGACCGCCTTGCTGTCCCACTTCAAAGCCTGGCTGAAGGCAGTCCAGCGCCATCAGTGAGGCCCATGTATTTTTGTAAGGAAGCACACCCACTATTGTGCGTTTCAAAGCCCTAGGAGTAGACCAACTAAAAAGCCAATGTGAGAACAATACATCTAAAGCTGGGACATGGAAGCAACAGAGTCAAAGAAATAGACCCTGCCCTTGATAATTTCTCTCTCTGTAATAGACTCTCTCTCTCTCTCTCTCTCTCTCTCTCTCTCTATTTGCTCACATTCCCATAGAGCCCATTTCGTCTTCTCCCGAATCAGAATTCATCAGCGGAGCACATTAATACGAAACCCAAGAAAGCATTAGTCACGTACTTCATACAAAAATCCCAGCAGGGAGTTATGAAGGCAGGGGGACTCATTATGTTATATGGAGAGAGAGAGAGAGGACAGGTATAATGCACTGAGGAGCATTATGAGGAGATGACAATAGAAATCACAATAAATTGTCTATGAACAACACATATCAGCATCATTAGGCAGCGTCTTACCTGCTTGATCGCGGTTACTGTAATCACAAAAAATAAGGGTAGGCCACTGGTGACTGGGCTGGTGGGGGTGTCCACTATCACCTATTTGGGGGGAAAAAACAGAGAAATGTAACGTTAACACTTCACAATAAACATATGGCGTTCAAACTGAAAAGCTCTGCATTAAATGCTAGACATGACTACAAAGTGTCACTGCAGCGTGTGTGTCTGTGGTTATGGGGGGAGGAGTGCGTGGTAATGCTGTAGAGGAAGGGGCAAGCCCTCTGAATGCAGGGTGTAGTCTGCTTCTGTGACGCAATTCTACTATTCCCCAAATGTGCTCGTCGGTAGGAAACAAGGGAGACATTTACATTTCGGGATGGAGCGAGCGAGGTTCTGGACCAAAGAACTTTTAATCAAGTGGGCCAGATGCAGAGTGCTTAATCTGCAGGCATGCCAGCACTTCTGTGTCTCTGCCAAGGCATGAGAGAGAACTCAAAGCTTTGCTGGACTCACCTTACCTGCCCGAGCTGTGCGTGAGGGAATCTAACAGTAACGTTCTCGTTTCATTGTTGTGTGTAATGTAAAATAAGTGTGGGACCAGTGATCAGGAAATCCCAAACGATCGGTTTATGACCAAGGCTCTCAGCTTAAGCCCCATCGCACAAATGGCCTTGTGTGTGTTTGTGCGTTTCTTAAAACCATCATAAGACGGATTTACCCGTGCATTTGTGATTGTGCAGAATGCAGGCTGGTCTCCCCCCTGAGCCGGGGTGCGTATTCCAGCACGCACAGACAACACATCCAGCTCGTTGGTATTCTAACCAGGAGCGTTACAAGCTGTCAGACAGACATCAGTTCAAGGAAGAGCAGGAGATGCGTTTTGAAGCAGTATCCGGTGATTTATTCACCGGTGCGTGGACTAAGAATGAAAAAAGAAAAAAGAAACTGCCGCCCGCTCAGTAATCCCGGACAGCCACATTCAGTACCCACACACACACCCACACACACACACACACACACACACACACACACACACACACACACACACACGAAGTACAAAGCCAGTGAGCTACTATCCCACCCAAGCTTTACTGTGACTACAATTAACTGGAGGATTAATTAATTACAAAGCAGAGATGGACTAGCGCACATCGGCCATTTGGAGGAGTGCAGATTCAGAGGAGAGTCTGCATTATATTTGTAGAGGTTGGCGATTCCAGTGAGACAGAAGCAAAAGTAAGGATTCTGCCGCAGTAGCCTCAGGTGTAGAGAGCCAGAGGTGAGAGTGCTCAATGCTTCAAAAGAACAGTGTGTTGTACATGAGGATGGTGGATGGGGGCTCGGTGTTAAAGACTCATTACACCTTGCGCATTGCTATAGGCTGTGTTGCGAGTGGAACATTGATTTCTTCTTGAGAACAGCTGAGTTTACCCTGGTCATGTTAGCCCTTTACTGTTTGTGATTACCAGATCCTGAAATACGGATGCGATGAACATTGGAGAAAGCTGATGGAGCATTTTTTTTGTTTACTCCCATGACTGGATTGAAGGTTAGCTGATCACAACAGAGTGCAACAAGGCCCCAGCAGGAAGGACTGAGGACAGCATGCCCCTCTGATGCAGCAGCCAGATGGCCAAAGGGAGACCACAGCACAGAGTGCTGTACAACGCCAACTTTCAGCAGAAATGTTGCTAGATGTAGATTCATCTTTGGGGCTTTTATGACAATTTTGATGGCAAATGTACAATAGAGGACTATAAAAAAAAAAAGAGATAAATGATGGTGTCTTTTTAATATCGGTTCATAAATAGTGATTCCAAAAAAGCACTTTCTTTCATCTCACACTAAAAGACTTCCCAGCTTCACAGAAACAACTGTATCAAGGACAGTCATCAATTTAGGAATGGGGTGAAAACTACTTTTTAATGCGTCAATAGTATCATTGACGCATTAGAAATCACTGCAACAGCAACATCCTGAGGAAACTAAAACCTTCACAAAACCTTCAAACAACTGTACTTCGGGCCAAACGACACACAATTCTCCCAGAGCTCGTCTTTCCCCGTTTATCCGCACTGATTGACGAGGATCCCCACCAAATGTCCAGATGGCCAAATACCTTTTCCTCCTCTGCACCAAATGCAAAGCCAAAACATCTCAGCAGTAGCAGTGAACTGTGTGCTGCTGCTGATATGCTGGTGTGATATCAGAGCTGCGGAGCGAGGCAGCACAAAACCCTTCATCCGAGCCGGGAAGTGTGTCAGAGTGAGCGACGGACAGCAGGTCCCCGAGGTCCCAGGGCAGCGCTGTGGGCCCTCGCGTCCTCTTACCCCTTTGCCCTTTTGTTCCCCCCGTCTCTCTCTCTCTCTCTCTTCCCCCCCCCCCCGCTATCTTCTTTTCTCTCTTGCACTATCATCACCGTTTCTCTTACTCTTTCGCTGCACTCTATTCTCACTCGATCAAATTCAAGCAAAGACATGCATGGCTATTTATAGCGGAGTGGTGCTTTTTTATCAGCCTGTGTCTATTTGTGGCACTGAGAACTACAAGAGGGCTTCCTGGCTGCTGACGTCAGCAGTGCAGCGCTGCAGAGAGATGGGTGGAATGAGAGCGAGAGAGAGAGAGCGAGAGAGCGAGAAGGGGAGCAACAATGACAGAAAGAACAAATGACAGGGAGAGACCAAAGGAGGGTGGAACAGATTTGGAGGATGCATGACATTTGGTTGTTGGTAAAGCATTTGCATGAAGGCTCTCAGGGGGAAGTGAGAAGGTTTATTTCCGTCTATGAGATGTGGGTGTGTACCCGTTTCTCTCTCATCCTCTCTCTCTCTGATATAATAGCAGGCTGCATGGGAAAAACTGAGTGGTTGGGATAAGGAGCCCCTCAAGAGACTGGATTAGTGGAGAAACGCCAACCACGCTGCAGCTTGGGTAAACACCGTCAGCAAACCCAGGACACCCACTGAGTCATACATCCACACATACAATGTATTCACACACAAACAAACACTGCACTGCACACATTACACACTGATAATCCTTGCGCGTTTGTGAGAGTGATGCAAACATGCTTGGTGGTTTACTCCCACATAAGTGTACTGCATTCTATCACGATAATTTCACACATTAGCTCACAACTGTCCAACAATCCAGGACCTTTATCCATTAGCTGAGGATCATATGGAGTTAAGCCAGACAAACTGGAAAATAGAGGCTGCCAACTGTAAATACTGGTGGAAACAAGGCCTGGAGGGAAAAATAAACTCTGAAATTGATCTGCTTTTGACTTGAATCATGGAATTTCTTTGCGACAGCAGATATTTCTCAGTCTAGTACAGTGTTGGACCTCTGGGAGCAGTCACTGTGAGCTCATTCAGTCAGCATGCGACTAGATAGAGCACATCCCTCCTGAGCAGCCCCAACAGCAGCACTCGTTTACACTAGAGGGCTGTTTGCCTCTATAGTTTGGGTTACCGCTAACAGGAGAGAGGTTAGTTTCCATCTCCACGGATTAGAAAAAGGGACAGAGATGATAGAAGAGCAAGTGCAGATGCAAGCAACTAACCGCTTTTTTTTTTTTTGGTTCCATACACAAATCAACAACTGCCAGATCCCAAAGAGGAGAGAGGACAGGTCACTTAAGAGCACAGAGCAAGGGAATAAGGATGCCAGTCAAAGCCGTTTGGTCAGCGCTCCTGGAGCTCTCAGTCAGTCAGCTCGTCATGAGGATGGGCACGATGCACACAAGCTGACAATGACAGATTTTAGATTGCCATATATACGTAAAACCAAAATAATCTGGTAAAACCACTCTTTTCTTTTGTGAGAATCAAAGCAAAGACAATAAAAAATATATATGCAATTAAAAAACATACTTCCATTTTCCATAAATATTTGGGATGGCCAAAAACTTTTGCGATTTTTGATAGAGAGTGAACATTCAAAATAAAAATAAAAACATTAAAATTTAAATAAACAGATATATCTGTAAACCTTCCTATCTAATTCTAGGGGAATTCAGTATTGACACGTTAGATAAAAATACAATCTGCAAGCTCCTGAGTCTTGGTACTAATAGCCCATTAAAAACCCATTAATTAGTTGGGTAATTGGTTAATAGAAGAGTTGAGTTCCATACAGCTAGCTTACAATTCAAGATGGATCCTTCTTAAGAAAGAAAGACCTTTTGTAACAATGCACTTGTCAAATTCAGATGTATAAGTCTTGACACAAACTAGGTGAGATTAATGTCCGTTTATGCATAAGTGTGTCTTTGCATGTAGATCCTTTTATAATTTGTTTCCCCCTTCCTTGATTCACTGATACCTTTATTAATACAGTACCATGGCATTATTTCCTGCTTCATACAACATCTGTCTTAAAAGGCCATGTAAGACAGCAGATTGTTAATCGATGTGTGGGACATGTGCAACCTGCTTTGATGAACACACTTCTCAGTCACGCCGTACAGTTCATCCAGTATCCGTTTCCCACCTGCCATGCCCACATGCAAATAGCCACACTTTCACACAGGAAACGAACACATCGTGCTGGTCTGCAGAACACAGGTTGTGAAGCCAAGTTGGATGAGACACATTAACCCATTGAGCTTGATTATCAACAGGCTTTAACCTGCTTCATCGGGTTGTGTGAAAAGATATCAGACATGCACACGCCTCATACACATCAACTTGTTAAACAACACCACAGTCACAGTCACAGATGACATCTATAAAGTTATTTAACAATGACGAACAAACACACTGACGTAACTTGTCCTCACCTGCACCAGGAAAATGATAAGGAAGTAGAAATTGGCAATTCTTCTAAACTGTTCAAACAGGTTCTTTGGTAGAAAGTTCCAAACTGTATACTGTGGGAGGAAAGAGACAAAAAAAACACATGCATGTAGGTCACAGAGAAATAAAGAAGGTATTACAGTTTGTGGATTTCTTTCTGCATAATTTTGCCATTCAGGCATGGTGTTTTTCTACAGAATTTAGGGAGGTTAACAAAAAGCTTGGCAAGGGGAGAGAGATTAGAGGCATTCAATATTCACAGACTCTTTCATATGTGCATTCTGTCTGAGCTGTGGAAGGGGGAGGGGGACTTCGATAGCTTGGAGTCTCTGTTCTTTGTTCTGGCGAGGGAGAAGGCCCTTGGGGGACCACAGGTATTCCATTGATTCAGATAAGCGATTTATCTCCTTAATCTGGCTACCCTTGAATGCAGAGCCGATGAACTTGTCATGTTGGGCACTATTCATATGCGTTCTGTTCTTTTATAAGTGGCCATGACTGCTGATACCAATCGGGGCTGAAGCAACACTTTTATCTGCTTAAATCCCAGAGAGACGGCTTGATAATACCCTGCCGGTAACTTGGTGCCACAATTTAAAGTGCCTGGGTAGAAAAACACAAGTGCGCGCACGCACACACGCACACACACACACACACGCGCACACTCGCAGTGAAACAGCATTAAGGCACTGTTTATGAAAGGGAACCTCTGCATGGGGATAGCGTTGAAATGCAGCGGCAGCAGAATGGCCCCATCTCATTTTGCCAGACAGAAAAGAGAGTGAAAGTAATGAGAAAAGGGGGGGGGGGGGGGGCAGCAGTGAGGGTGGTGGTGCAGTAGTACAGGAGCGAGAGAGGAGAAGCGGAGACCGGCCATTGCAAACGCAACAGGATGATGGAGAGCAGAGGCATGGAGGAGCATAAACACTACAGCCGGGGTAATTAAAGGCTGTTTACCCTGACATACTGGCAGGAGCCAATTGATTGGCCCATCCTCACTGGGACGCTCTGCACCACTATAAATCCCACTGCCGCCTTACTCTCACACCGCTTCCCCTCTCCTCATCACTGTCTTCATATCCATAAGCGAGTCAGCCAGCACCAGCACCAGCCTGAGCCTGCCGCTGACACTGAGGGGTTAGATTTGGGTGGGGGGGGGGGAGGGGGTCAATCAGAGCTCAGAGGGGAAACGACCAAATTTCCCACCCTGCCAGTACATTAATAGCAGCCGTGTATTTCACTGCTCCCCTGACAAACAAATAATCGCCTTCCACTGGGAGCGAAGAAGAGGAGCATGTGGAGAGGCAGTGGGAGGAGGAAGAAAGGAAAGGAAGACACAGGAATGTTCAGGAGTTCAATCCAAGTGTTAGATAAGAGAAGAGAAATGCTTGAAGGCAGGTGAAACAGAATACAGAGAGGAGCTGGGAAACAAACAGAGCTGTATGAATTTCATCCTGTGTAAGGCAAAGACTGGGGCACCCTGGCATGTGTGTGTGTGTGTGTGTGTGTGTGTGTGTGTGTGTACGTTTCTTACCTTGGAAGACACAATCCTGTTATCACAGAACTTGGGTGGGATGATAGCCTCATTGGTGGAAGATGACCGATGACCAACATAGATAGTCCTACTCTCTACTCTGTTCTCCACTCGGCCAAGCTAGAGGACGAAGCAGCAGAGGTGGGTAGAGGTAGAAAGAGAGAGAGAGAGATTCAGATAAAAGGAGAAAGGAAAGAGAGGATACATTAGTAATTCAAGGTACATCTCTTCACTTCAACAGAGATTAGACATTAAACGAGCCGAGTTAAATCTAACAAATATATGGAATAGAATAAATAAACAACTTGTTTTATGGTGCCAGGAGTTGTTGTGGTCATAAAAACTCTTAAAGTCTGATGAGGCCTACATTCCCCCCACAGGTCAAGTATTAAGAGATTAGAAATGCTACAGTGGTGCAGCAAATTAAAAAGACTTGAAAAGCACTCACTGTTGAGCACAAGCCAATAACTCAGAGAGGACACAGAAAAGTGTGACAGGGGTCAACGGGCCAGAATGGTGACTGTGCGAGGACTATAACTTAATTCCTTCCCTCCCAGGTGGTCGCTCGTCGATGGTAAACGAGTCATAAATGCGGACAGCCAGGAGAAAAATGCTGTGCTCTGATTTATTGGATGAGCTGCCTTGTCGTGATGCAGATGGCAAGGTGATATGTGCACCCACACGCATTAAGTGCACGCACGCCCTAGCCAAATGTCTGACGGGGTAAAGACTCAGAAGCCGGGTCAGGAGCCAGGGACACGCTGGACTAACCTCGACATGAGGTGGCCGGGGAAATTCCTCTTCTATAAAAAGGCAGGTAGGGTGAATCACAGAGCAAGTCAAGGTCTTAACTCTACAGGAGCTCGCCTTACACCAGTGTCACAAACTGTCAGGCAGGTTTTTTTTTTCCCTTTTTGAACATAAAATCAGTTTGCTGCACTGCGTGAAGCTGATTGGGTTCATTCTTCTGTGTGTGAAACAACCAGAGGCTGTAATTAAACACCGCTTCTTAACTTAAAGTGGACACATGCATACATTACCTCTAAAATAAGGTCATCATGCACTGTTACAGTTTTATAATAACAGTGGCTGGCTTCCTCATTTCTAGCCTGTCATCTGTCAACAGTGGCTTCAAGTGGATCAGTCATGTCTGAACAATGCAGAGTGTTTTTACTAAGGGCAGTAGCATTACCAGCACATAGCCAGTATATTAGTGCAGCACTACCATTAAGATTCTCCATCATTATACGGGATCTTTAATTAATCAAAAACTGTGCACAAGCACACATGCATTTTGGTTCCGTCCTGAAGAGTGGAGCCCAGAAAACTGACCTCAATATCTATTCCTGACACCCTGAGGCTTCGGGTGGACAGACACGAGGGCTGCAGGGTCAAAGCAACAAAGCCAGTATACTGGAGACATATTTGCTTGAAGTTCCACCTCATCTTTTTTTTTCTCAAGCTTTGTTCCTTATCTCACCATATGCATGAAGAATTTTCCCACCTCTTTCAAGTGTAACATAACGGTAAATAAGCATTGTAAGGTATTAGTCATAAGCTGTTGACCAGTACTGAAATCCAGTGGTTTCTGTTTTATGTGTCTGTCGTTTGTTATCGCGCTGCGCAATTAAGCAAAGACATAGGGTTATAAAAATCTATAATTTTTCCATAAGTACCTTCAATCTTCCAATCTGACCTGAAGATTCCTCATAAAAGCAAATTATACTTTCCAGATATTGGTGACACCCAACTGATTTTATCACTGTGGTCCATGAAATGTCAGCAACGCTACCTCAATTAATGAGAGTTCAATCTGCTGTTAATAATTTAATAAGAAACTTTATCTTCAAAAGGTTTACACACACACACACACACACACACACACACACACACACACACACACACACACACACACACACACACACTTAAGTCAAAGTAACGTGAAGAATTTTGTTTTTCCGTCAGTAAGTTCATGCATGCTTCGTGAATGATTACAAACTATTTTTAGTGGACTCTGGACGTTTGTACCAACATACATTAGTTAAAGGCAATATTTCAGATGGTGATTGTATACATGAATGGTTGATGATCACACTAAACTAATGATATAATTAACCTCATTTATCAATTAAACCATTAATTGACAAACTGACTGAATCAGCATCTGGAAAACAAACTTGAGCATGTTCCAAACTGCCCGTGCTTTTTTCCTCCAATTATATTATCATATAGTTATAGTCGTAAATGATTAAGGTTATGCAGGCAGGGGATCTGCTTCATTTAATACAAAGGCCAGCAACATGTGGGTTGAGGGGACGGATTACCATGAACATCTGATCCTGGACCAGACCCAGGGAATGTGTGAATTACGGCCACCTGGACAGCAAGCTGCCCAAAGTCTGTTGCTGACAAGAGGTGAGATCAAAGAGTAGCCTCACTTGCAAGCCTAATTCATGCATTTGGGGCCCAAAAAAACAGCCTACATAACTCCAGTTTATGCAATAATTAGCTTTTCATGAGCAGTCAAATAACACAAAATCCTAATTCCAAAATATTTCCCATCGTCTCTCCAGACGGGACTAGAGAAGAGAACCAAAAGGCTTATATAATGCTCCCTTATGCATGAGCAGACGTGTTCACACCTCAGTATGGCTGTCAGATCTACTATCCCCTACCCGCTCGACACACACTGACACTAATTCAGCAGGACCAGACGGACCTGGCTGCCAGAGAATGAGGGGAGAGAGAGTGGGAGGAAGAAATAGTGCGAGAGAAAGGAAGTATCCAAGGACACAAGCACATCACGGTTTTTCTTTATCAAACAACAACCAGCACCCAGAAGGAGCAGTAAACCCCATGGACTACTTTGTTCATTTGTTTGAATCAGATGCAGTGTTTCTGGCAGTTATCCTTCCTCTGTGTACTCTGAAAAATGCTATAAATGTAAAAGAATCCCCGATATAAAATAGCGAACACCTCGTATAACACAAGGAGACAATGTGGGTCCGGAAAAAAGGGCTGCGCATACAAAATATAAAACGCAAGTAAGGTACAATTTACAAAAGAAATTAGCCTCGACTTGGCTTGTGCCTTCAGGGTTACAGGTCAGACAGTCAACAGTATACGTTGGCTGGCTCCTGCTAGTGCCATCCATCACCTGTGCCCATCTAGGATTGAATATACACAAGAGCTTCAAGGTTGCAGGCCTTTCGGATTAATAAAACATAGGCAAACATTGTTGCAACTACCAACATAAGCAAGCTCTGGGCCTCAGCAATTATTCTCAAACAGAAATGTTGGCACCTACACACACATAATTAATGCTGGAAATGAGATGCTATATAAAATGAGAATGTAGATTAAGCCCTGGGGTCCTAAAGATAAGAACTATTGAACGGACATTGATTTAATGGAGATTATTCGCTGTAAAATATAATGAGGGTCAGACCACGAGGCCCACTTCATTTCTGAGCAGTTACGTGATCGCAATGCACAGCTCAAAAACAGGCAACAGGAAATGCTAATGTAAGGAAAAATAGGAGCGATTATCTATACATCGTGAGTCAAAGGTCAAACAAAGCCGTTCAATGCCAATGATGAGCAAGTAAAGGAAAAGTGGGCGAAAGTCAAGTGCCAGCATGTCAACAGCAAACAGCAGATTCACCCAAGATGGAAAAGCATCGGCAACAAAACGTGAATGAAGATCAATAAAGCAAACATCCAATGCTAATTAGAAATAAATGGTGCATTAGTGAACTGCATGACTCTGAAACTTTACATTAAATGACACTCTAAATTAAATTATGCACAAATTGTGAAATGGGCTCCAGAGGGGACAGGGGGGGGAATATAAGACTGCATTCAGCTACTGCCAAACTCCCAATGATGACTCGGGTCTGATGACACCGCGTCCTGTCACAGCATCTCACTATTCAGTGACTATCCTGCTTTGTCACAATCTGCATGCTGCTAGCTGAACAGACACTGGGTAACGACAAAAGTACGAGGCCATGTCCACTGTAACCCTAATCCATCACAGCGGTAACTCCCTCATAGCGCAACCATGGGAAACCTTTTAAATCACAAATATTAAACGAGAGATGTTGACTCAACCCTGGTGCTGTTGTCTTGTAAGAATGCATTATAATTACTCATATACATACATACACAAGGTGGACAAACAAGCATACAAGTCTTTTTTTTTCTTTTTAAAAAAATAAATAAATAAAAAAATAAAAATAAAAAATAAAAAAATCACATTTTAATTGAAGTAATATTTATTTATTCCAAACTAGGGCTGCAACTAACAATTATTTTCTTGATAAATCCATGAATTTAGTCTAACTGAGATGTAGTGGTGTAAGGGACAGTGAGACAGTGAGATTCCTGCTTGGATCACACATTTCATGCCATAAGACACCCATACAACTACTGTTATCTAAAAGCAACTGGATTTACGGTTTTTATTCACGAAGACCACCACTCATCTTAAAAGGCATCGCTCAGTTGTCCTGATCCTTGAATTGGTCACGTATCATCATGCCTGAATCTTAGGTGACACAAACACGTGACACACACACACACAAGAATAGAAACACCACATCCAGTTTCCTTTGACATAGCCCTTCTTCATTGACATTAATATGTTGCCATTTATGGCCTGCAAATCTGTCAAAGAGCATAGAGGAAGTGGTTCTGGCTCTCAGGACTGCAACGTGTGTTTAACTCTTGCGTCTTTATTTGTCAAGCAAAGTTTAACTGAAGCGTGGCTCCGGCTGCATACTCGTGCGTGTCCAGAAGAGGAGTGTTTGTTGACAAAGAAGTGAAACTGACAAGCATCTCCTGAGCAAACCGGCAAATCAAGATGCTACCACGGTGTGTAAAGGGAAAAGGGTTCGTGACAGTAGGTGTGACATTGGCACAGAGAGTTATACACCCTGACACAAATAGATATCGAGGTCAAACAAAATCAATCCTGTAACTTATTCTTACAGAAGTGCTGAAGCGAATCGAAAAGAAGTCCGCTTAAAAGAATACAGCAGCTCGCCTGCTCTTGTAACTTGGCTACAGGAAAGAGAATCCACTTAAACACATTTAATGAGGTGTGAGGGAGCCGTGTGTTTAAGAGAGAGCACTGGGGCCCTATACGCTTGTACTTCTTTGTCTCCTGCACGTGTACTAATACATAGAACAATGAGAACGACAGATTCGTTGTTAAGTCCATGTTCCTATTTGACCTTAGTATCCATTTCCTGTAATTCTCTGCACAAAAGTGAGCTGCACACAGTCTAATGCCTCATTAGTGGTACCAGTACATGAGAAGAGTGGGCTGAAGAGCGTGCGGGCGGCTCAGTCCTTTATCATATTCGACTACTTAACAACATCTGCTTCAGCGGCACCTTATCTATCCGATCAGGTTTTATGATGTCGCTCTCAGCTTAAGTGGATTCATCACAGGTCAACCTTATCTGCCTCTTAATGTGGTGCATATTAGCGGTTTTCCCCTCACCACATTCAGGACAAACCATAATAGGGAACGTCCCAAGATAAGATCTAGTGCACTGGAGTAAGTCTAGGCGTAAACATCAAATTATATTTGGAGAGTAAATACCAGAGAAAATGTCTAACCTCCAGTAAGCCGCTGCAAGAAATGTTAACAGTAAAAAAAATTGAAAAAAACGGCCTAACTGCAACATAAAGTTGCTTTTATGACTGAATAGAGTTGAGTGATGAATGTTTGAATGCAAGGGGAACGGTGCATGCGTTGAGTCAACGCTGTTAGTCACTGCAGTACTCTAGCACTCGCTTCTCTGTCCTGTCAGCCCACTGGCCCGTCTTCTTCCTGCACGCTCGCTCCGTCTCACTAATTGTAATCTCAGATTTCATCACACATCCAGGCGCTCATTGCCTCGGCTGCAGAGCATTTACAGAGGCGACATCATTTTCTGAAGAAAAATATAGACACATTAAAATCAAACCGACAGCGGAAAGTTTGTCACTACAATGACTTCAAGAAGTATTCACCTGTTACAATTCCTGTGCGAGTTCTTAATAAAGCAATTTGACATCACATGGGCTCATTTGTCTAATTTCAGCACAAAGGTGTTTTCTTTAATTTAAGACGATCTCAATGCATCTTTAAATCACACAAAACCTCATTTAGTTTCATTTAACCAGCTTTTTTTTTTTTAATACAGTAGGACCATACCGTCTCACAGGAAAACCTTATTAAACAATTCATACCATTATTATACTACATTTTCAGGTTACAACGAAACTTTTTGATATTTTTCTTGCTCAGCTTTAGTCCGTCCTCTAAATATCTATAACAAGTGGGTGCACATCTTCATCGGCACATCTTAAAAATACTTTTTTTTGGTTGCCCATACTTTGAGGCTACCGAGTCAAGGAAAAGCAGAGCCATTACCCCATCCAACAGGTGTTACCTCCATCATGGATCCCCCAACACTCGGCCTGTGGCATAGTCTACAGAGCCCATATCAGCGGCTACTCTCTCCTCTGTCTGCCGTTTGCTCTCTGCGATGAATGGCCCCACAGAGTAATAACAGTCCAACTTGAACCGAGGGCTGATCCTAAGGAGCTGTTGTGGATAGGCAAAGGCTCATTGTTCTACGAGCATCGCTGCAGCTGCACGAGACACAGAGCGTACTGTACCACGAGCTGGTACTGGCCTACATTACACAGAGTCCCTCGACAACGGGGAGGAGGGGAAACTCATCTAGACCTCGCGCTGGGAGCTGCTTCCTCAATCATTTGGTCATCTCAAAAAGAGCCACAGACGGATAATGTGCGAACTCATTTTGCAACACCTACAGTTTACAGAAATGTTTAAAGTTTAAAACTGAACATTTTGTGACTAGTTAAGAGGTAGGGCTGGTCGATGATTTCAATGGAATTATATCGTGACGGCATCCTATAGAGATATCATGACACACGATTGCGTTGTCTGAATTGATGAGCATGTACTGAAGTCAGTATGTGTGTTTCTCACAACATCTGAATTGAAAATAATTGTGCTTACGGGAAAGCCGAGTGTAGTTAAATGAAAACTATTGTCTCAATCTGATTACTATGTATTTGTGTGCATCAACAGTCAGTATATAGCTAGGAATATTCATTATTTTCTATAACCTTAGTTGAAACTTGCGCATATTTTGCACTCAAGTTCTAAATAAAATGAGAATATACTTTTCATTTGTCTAATTCACACAGGTGTATAAAGAATAGGCTTTAGCATGTGGTTATTTAATATAGACTATTCATTTATTGAATTACCAGAAAATGTGCTGCATCATATGTCGTGAACACAAACTACACAAATCCCTGGTGGGAAACCTGTGGGCACTGTGGACCATCTACCTCATCTTGTTTGCCACAAGAGACGATGATAAAGAAATGTTGTGGAACACAAAGAAACGGCCTTGTAGACATTACAGAGGGAAATGTTTCAGCAAGTCACATTGCTGACAAGAGGTCTGTGGTGGTGTATCTGAGGCACACTGTTCCTCAAAATAGAATAGTGTACACAGACTAAATAGAAGGCTAGAGCGCAGCCGAAACTTCACAAAACAAGTTCTCAGTAGGCAAGTTATTTTCTCAATGGTTTATAGTCTGAAAGCTTTCATTTACTGAGGCTTTGGTTTTGCTTTAGAGATTATATGTTACTCCAGCTTGAACTTTGTCCCCACAGCTACCATCCTGTAGACAAGTTAGCTCAGTAAGTCCTGGAGAGAATGACTAAAGTGAAAAGGACTCTTATGGAAGAAAAAGCTCCTTGCTTTGTGCTTTAAGAGCGGGTAAACTGAGCACATTTTGAGCAGCAGCCTAGTCGCACTTTAATCCATAATTAAAGAGAATTTAAAGTAGTGTAGCCATAAATGGAGTACGGTTTTTCCAGCCAAGTGCACATACACTCTGTGCATGTGTGCGACAAATCACCAGATTCAGCTTCTTACAATGAAGATGCTGGATCCAGCTGCTTTTGTCTATGTAGTGTACATAACTAAACTGCAAAATACAATGGCTTCAATCCCCCCCCCCCCCACGTCTGGCAGAGAGCCATGCAACACCAACAGAAAGGCATTTACAGTGCGTCCTAATGATGCTGACAAGATTTTATAACAATCTCTATCTCAGCTGAAGCCCTACTGATGACATTATCTTTAATAATGTACCGAGCTCCACTGGCTGTAATTGCTATTCAATTAATTATCCTGAGACACTGCATTGGAGGGCAATGGGTCTGATGACAAAAATCAATGTGGCTCTTTCCTGCTTCTCCTCAGATGGTTGATTTGGGGTTGGCTTTTCTCACCAGACGTCTTCTCCCACTGAACTGCCACCACGTTAAAAACACTCATGTTCCTCCCTGTGACGGAGCTGTACCGCCTGCATAGCTGCGAGTTTGTGGTGGAAATAACCGTTGCAGGCTGTTGCCTAGCCTGGGTGTTCATGCGAGAGTGTGTGCGCGTGTGGGAGGGGGAATGTCACGCAGCACTTGTTAAATCCTCACATGGACTTTGCAGTTTCTTTTCCGTCAGGCGACAACAACAAAAAAATAAACTGGTATGACTAACCATCACAGATGCTGGCGTCTCACCTCCTCCCTCCGTGCTCAGACACAGAGAGAGAGACAGACACAAAAAAAAAAAAACACACACACACACATCTCAGCATTCTCTTCACATCTCACTGCGAATGCTCTCTGGGTAATGCTAGAGCTGGAGCATGGCACAGAAAAATCTCTGGATGAGCCTTTATACATATATGGATGACGAGCATGCGTTTGGAGGGCTGCTAGCCCTGCGAGGATACGTGGGTCAGGAAAAAGGAGGAGTGATGTGAGCAGAATTCAAAATAAATGAAGCAACCTGAATTATTTAGAGGTACAAACTGAGAATTCAACCTAGCTTTTAAAAGGAAGTGGAAAATTGCCACAAAAAGCCATCCATGGTCCCCTTGTATCTAAATTGACCCATCCACTCCAATGTGAACCGCTACAGGAAGCTGAAAAGAGTGTCCATTAGGTGGAGGAGGAGATGGAGCGGTGCAAAGAGGCGACAAGTACACCCCCCTGGTTTCCAGTGTTTCGGGTTTGAGTCACGAAGGGCGTTCTTTACTCCCCCCCACTATATTTCATCAGCCCGCTGTCCCACCACCGGCCGTTTATTCCTTCACACTGCCACCCTCCCCACACTAAATATATTTATCATCCTGCTGTGTGTTGCAGATGAGCTCCTTTGGCTGGGTTTCCATTACTGGGCAGCATGCAGGAGACCAGATGGAGAGAGGAAGGAAGAGAAAGAAATCGGAGTAAGCAATTCTGTTCGCAAGCCAATTCACGGTGCAAGACTAATGGCGGCAAAACGGAGCACAGCTCTAATCAATACGCATCTCTCCTAATCAAACAGACCTGATAAATCAAATGGTCCTACGATGCCTTGTATGGTCTGTTGCCTTCAGAGGAGACTCTTAACCTAACTGCTCTCTAATGCTCCAATATGTTTACAACAGGTGCTACTAGCTAGAGTATATAAAAGCAAGACTGTCCTGCAATATATAAAAAAAAAAAAAAAACACAATTTGGAGCATTCTGAAGCAGGGTAAGTCATCCAGCAGAACCAAAATACAGTCATGAAAACAGCATCGGGTACAAAGTGCTTAGAATGCTGGAAATTAGACCAATTTGCATGGAACTACTGTATCGTTCAGCAGCAGGTACAAAAACATCCTCTTTTATTGCTTCCCCTGGGAAGAGTGGTGACAGTGAAAATAAATTCAACCTTGTGTGTTTACGTTGGCACAAAATCACCTTAATGTGCAGTTGTGTTAGTGTGTACACACAGGTTTGTGTGCTAGTCTCAGAACTGCCATTGCTCTTAGGTGGCCTGAGAAACCGGTTTGCAGAGCCCTGGGGCTCCCAAACGCATTTGACAGGCAACACTTCAAAACATACACAACAACATCTCCTGCCAGGTAAGGGCCTTTTTACTGGGGAATGGGTCACAATCAAGTAGAGACAGATCTGAGACTGGCAGGATCCAGTGCAACAGTCTGCAGCAGGATGGACAGGCTGAGGAGAGCTGGAGAGGAGGGCAGAAGGGTGAGGGGGAAGCCCTGCCGAGAAGGAGCAGGACCCCTGATCAGACGCACTAAATAGTTGAGACTTCACTACACAGCCTTAAAACACACAAGTGCATTGCACCCTAAAACTAGAACAACTCTCAAAGCAAGGGCAAATATGTCTTAAATGTCAAGACATCACTGGGGTGCTTGTGAATCTAAATCTAAACCAAAAGGAAAAACTGGAGGCTAGAATATCTTCACCATCGTGAAAACTGAGACAAAATACATAATATATAAGCGTTCTACGGCTCGTAAATAACCCTAAGAGGCTGCCGTTGATGTCTTCCTACATCATGTGTGGTAAAAAACAACCTTCACATCTTATACTTCACACAAGAAACCTTGAAACAGTCCAGCTAACTTAAGTTTGTTTTTGTTAACATACCCATCATATTTTGGGTTTTATTATTATCTTCAATTAATTGTTTTGTAAATAAAGTGTTCTAAAATAGAGTTAAAAGATATTGCGTTGACTATCACATAAGATAAAAAAAGCAGCAAATCACCACAATCAAGAAGCTAGAAAAAGAGAACATTTAGTAGATTTGCCTTAAATAAATCAATGATTATCTGATTATCAAAATGCTTGTTTAGCTAAGTGATTACAGAACTAATTGTTTCAGCACTAAATTCTATAATTGTATTAACTCAAAGTAATTCCATTTGTTTCACCGGCACCGTTTCCTGTCTTTGAGCGCAGGGTAAGAGTACCTGTCGAGCTTCAGTGTACTACATTACTGGGCAGCGGAATACTTGCTACAGTACTACAACGGTCAACTTCCCAAGTGGGATTTCAACCAAGCTAGAGAGTAGGAGGAGGCCTTCTGAGGTGCTGCCTGGTTGATGGTGTTTTCATGTGACGGTGCTGTTCTCCTTGCATTCAAGGCAGGGGCTCCCTCAATGAATACTATCACCGCCAGGCTCCACCTCTCACAGATCACACTGCTGCCTTCAAGGGCTTGAACGAACATCAAAGGCAACTGTGTGATTTCACATTCCTATCAGAGCATTACAACCTCTGGAGCCCCCCTCCCCCCACAGCCATCTTTACTGATTTTCCAAAAGACACACTCAGGGTTTAGCGGCCCAGCGCATCATGGTGGAAGAGTCAAGTGAGACACATGAAGCCTCCTCGGTGCCTTTTGGTATGAGCAGTTACACTCTTCCCTCTATCTGCTCTCCCGCTTCATGATGCACATGTACCCCCCGTGGGCTTCAGTGTGTATCAGGAGGCTGACAGCCAGAGCCTCAGATAACGGCGCTGTGCGCATCAATGGCAGTGTGGCTGACTGCCCCGCACAAAATATTATTTACAGCTCACACTGGAGAGAAATTACAGCAGCAATCCTCTCCAGAAGGAGGGGAAAAATCAGCTGAAATGGCAACACTTAGAGTGAGGCCAGGAGGGGGGTCAGGCACTATAATTATTATATTGCTTCCCCTTATTCACTGTCGCTATCTATACTGCTCACATAGCCCGTGGGGGATTCAAACCACCGGCAACAACAGGTTACTGGTGCATTGGAGGATGATAAAGAGGCAGTAAAGGCGGTTTAGCATTTATAAACCTGGCCTTGCGGATAGTTACTAGCCCACTCACGGCTGATTAATGTATGGGAAAAGGGCAGTGAAACCGATGGGTGAGCTTTAAAAGGGTAAGCATTAAATTGACCAATCGTGAAATATGATGTCAAAGCAGTTCACGCTGGCAAAATGCCAAATTCAACAAATCCGGTGGATGGATGCAAAGCAACGTCAGAGCAAAGAGGGGCTGTAGTGCAATTAGAAACTATTGATTTGTGTTCTTATATTGTCTGAGCGATGGTCTAAAATCCAAAGATATTCCATGTAGACAAAAAACACAACACTGAAAAGTAGCAAATCCACACATTTATAAAAGCTAAATCCAGTGACAGTTTGGCTGATTTAATGGAGAGAATAATTAAATTGGTTATCAAATGTGACTAATTGATTTAACCAGCTTACGTTAACAGTTTCAACTGCAATGCTGAGCATAAAGGCTACACAGAGTATCTTTAGATGCAGGCCATAATGTCTTTAAATAGAGTGCATATTTTTAGCATTTTGGGACCCCAGAGAGAAGCAGCACAGGTCTCTGGAGACAGGTAGATGAGATAGCCTGCTCTCTCACCAGAGCTGTAGTTCCTGGGTTGTGTTACACGCATTGTTACAGGTGAGGCTCACTGAACATGTGATGCTACGGTTCTGGAGAAGGTTGAGAGTTTACATGCCAGACAAAAAATGACTCTTAGTTTAGCTGACATCAACTTGCATCCGTCGTGACCTCCCTGCTAGCAGAAGAACTTACCTAGCAGTTAGCTAACAGAGCAATGAAGTGAGACTACCGCTGGTTTCGTGTTGCCAGGCAGTGTGAAGTAACAGTTTGCTGCAAGTTTCTCACGGATTTCCGGCCAAAATGTGGAGGGACGAAAAAAAGGAAAATACTGGGAATGCCAGTTAACATTCTTTCAGGACATACATAGTCACTGCAGTTAAAAACGCTAGCAGGAGCAGCAGGATGACATAAGCTAACAATTAGTGTGCGTGTGTGTGTGGGTGTGTGTGTGTGTGTTGATGCCAGGCACACATACCAAACGGTTCAGTCTTCTCCGTAGCATCTTCTTGTGATTATCTTCTTTGATTTTGCAACACTGGTGGACCCTCCCGATTCAACAGACGCCACCAAGGCTCTGCTTCAGCTTCTCCCGGAGAATAACTTTACATGTATGTTAGTTAAACCTGCTAGCCCCTTTAGCTATCTACTCTCTACTCTACCGTTAGTTCTAGCTATATGAAATGTCGCAGCGACGCTACATCGTTTCCATTTTGTTTGATTTCGGTATCTTCTCACCATTCGCATTCTCTCACCCCTGAATATTTTCCGCGTTGCGGTGAAAGCCTACTAGTCGCGCTTTCCTTCGCTCGAGGCTGGAACGGTCCCTGACATTTCTCTCGTTGCCCTGTTGCTGAGACTCGTGCGAATCATTTGTGCCTCAAACGTTGACTCGCAAACTGCCGGAGACACTCTAAAATAAACCCCTAACTTCTCTCTTCCAAATCCCCCTTGCACAGGTCGCCTCACCTCTCCCTCTCAAACAGTTCTCACTCCAGCAGCAACCCACAAACGTCCCCACGTTCACAAGCTCCACCCGGCGAAGGTGCGGCGACTTTTCGCTCACAAGTGCATTATGGGTAATGTGGTCTGATTTTGAACTACAACCTTTCCTATTCCTGCATGTTCTTCGGGAGAGAACTGGCGGTTTGTGATTGCACTTCAGGGGTCGTTGAGCAATGAATAAAAGCCTCATTTACATTTCTGACGATGCAAAAGAGGATTTTAATATAGAGTTACAACCCTCATAAAAGAATGATGGATAAAAAGCTTTAGGTGAATATTGTACAAATATCTCAGCACAACCTTAAGATGCAGCGAAAGCAAGCAACAGGTAATATTTTATAAATAGCATATGTACAAAAAACATTGCAAACAATGCAATTGGTATACAAACATTTTTTATTACACTGCAGCCTGTAGAAATATTACTAGGCTCTGATTATTCCCCAATACTAATACTGTCTTCCCTTAAAGTTATCAGGTTTATTTAGATATTTACAGAACTTTTTGAAAAGCCTCCAACACATATGTTAAGTTTCTAGTGTCCGCATGTGTTTTGCAGGCCTTTAATGAGTTGCTCTAAGAATTGATTATTATTTAAGAGTATGAGATGTGTTTTGTGCTTTCAGGTTTAACAGCTGCAACATTGACATCTTTATAGAAAAGTTTAAGAATCAAACTTACAAAGAAAAGAAAAATAAAACATGAACAGTAAACAATTTGTAAAAGATGAATACATCGATGTACGTTTACGTAGGCTAAATAAGTTTTGTGATTTAAAAGACCGTCTTGATTTATGAGCTCTAACATCAAATGTCCTTCAGCTCTTGTTTTGTTGGCATTTGATCAGCCAACACATAGCCGCAGAGGGGCCTTTAAACCCCATGTTTACCTTAAAAAGTAAATGTTAACATGGTAGAAATTCTGCAATGTGATCTTTCTGTTTTGGAAATATTCTCTCTTCTGCATTTTGGAGTGCAAGTTGCAGGAAAGGCTATAAGGCAGATGATAAAAAAGTGTCATGTTGTAAGTCTTATGAAATTAAATGATGCAAGTTTGCTAATCTCTTTGACTTAAAGATCTTACTTCTTGCTTCTAGCTTTAAAGAGTATACCATGTGATGTTTGGGAGACTGAAAAGTTTCTATTCTTCTTGAAAACCACTGACTACTGGTGTCATCAGATAAAATGTGCCGATGTAGTGGAAATGTCTGCTGTTGTGACACAAGTTGAAGCAAATAAAAGCATAATACACTGAAATTCTGAGGAACAGGAAAGAACACCGAGCCATCTGAGGTTAACAATGTCTTGGTTCTTTAAAGGCCATACTGAGAGCGGCAAAGAATAAAAATGCATGCAAAGATTTAAATGCTTCACGGGGATAATTGATCATATTGTTCATGTTTAGGGAAGTAATGCTCTTAACAACTACTGTACATGAGAGTTATGATTTGTGTTATTTTGAGTCATAAATTATATAATCACTGAAACCTTGCATAAAAGGATTGTATCTTAACTTTTAGCCTTAAATGCTATACATTTAATGTGAAATTAAAATGACGCTCAAACAACATGGAGGTCACAAACAGAAATGTGACTCTGAGGCTGATTTGTATTTGTATGTGCATGAGTGACCCTGGCAGCTATTCGCATGTGGCAACCGGTTTGCATTTTGCGTTAGTGACGCCCTTCCTGTTGGTGAAATGTGGTCACTTTTGCAAACTGTCACATGTGAGGTAAGAGAAGAAGTATATTTACGCTGCAACATAGATATTCATACATAACTTTCTGACATTGTTCTTGCTATGAAGGAAGCCAGCTAAGTCAGCCACGGTCACCATGATTTTGTGTGTCTATTAGTGTCTGTGTGTGAATTAGTGTTCTAAACCACATTGGCTGATCATATCTATGTGGTTTGTGTTTTATGTTCAGCGGAAACTATTACTGGTCAACCCTGAGGAGAAAAGCACAAAAGCACATCTTTTTTTGAGTTACAAAATTAAACCAATTGACCTTAAACGTATTATAAGCAGTCAAAGTCAAATCAAGACTCAACGAAATGACTTGAGTCGTTAAAGGTCATTTATTAATTAAGCTTTTTTGTTTTGCAAGGTTTTACATAAGCAGTGTGGTCAACACAGCTCACATAGTGTTCAGTTCCATGGCTGACTTGTTGCTCAAGAATTGTTTGGACTTTTATAAACATGGAGCTATTAAAATCCTTTCAAAGTTAGCTCTCAAAGTCAAAATATTTGAGGGACCACCCCGTTTGCAAAATGTGGTTTCAGTATGTGCCATGACGTGCACCTCTTAGTAACATCACATCAGGAAGTAACCCGCTTGATGAACACTATATTTCCCATCTTTGGTGCAGAGAAAACACATGTATGCGTCATCAAGCCAGGGCCAACTGACATCTTTTACAACTCTGGCTAAGTACCTGTAAATGTTTACATCTTGACTGAAACCTCAAATTAATTGTATTATTTTTTAGAGGTGACAGTACTGTCAACACATACTGGACATGTTGTACTATGATACTGTAGCTACCTTACTTGTAATGAAAATCAATCACCATGAAGATGTGTGTGCTGTATATCATTAAGGTATTGCTGTTAAAATACAAAAAGTCATTCTATTTTTGTAGTATTTCTATGTTATATTATTTTAAATTATTATGTTATGTTAAAAGTGGAAAACAAAAGGATGGATGAACTATCTGTCACATCAGCCATGAACAGATACATGATAAATTGGATACTATCGCCACCATGTGGCCAAACGAAGAAATGTTTCATTTTATTTTACTGTTTGTTGAATTTTGAGAAGAACAGTCTCTTCTCCCTGATCCTTTACAGAAAGTCAAACACTTAGTGAGCTGCGGTGTAGCTAAGAGCACTGAATTCCTTGCAGGGTAATGTCATTTGTATGTGTAATCTACATCATTAAGGTATATACGCCATATAAACTGTGGGCTCATTACCATGTCCACACCTCTCAGAGTGACTGACATCAACATGACTTCAACTTACCTTTAATGTAATAGAATTCAAGACAAAACTAGAGATCATCTTGTAGCGGGATCACACCAGCCGCAGAGGAGTAAAGTGGTGGGATGATTTCGTAAACTTGAATCTTCAAGGAACTATTGGGATGTCACTGACAAACTGAAGATCTGACTCTGTCCAAATGCTCATAAAAGCCCTCCAATTTCCTCAGCCAGAGGGACCGGCTTTTTATACATGTCAAGCTATAATTGTTAAAGTGACATCGATGAATTTAAGGTAAATCTTGAGCTGTTGTTCATGCGGATAAATGACAAGTCAGCACATTTGAATGGTTGAAAAAAAAAATAGAAATATGATTTATGATTCAGGCACGGGCAAATATTATCAGACAGCAGTGATATTTTTATTCTGCTTACTGCATCCATATCCAAGGTGCATACATTGACCTTTCAACTGGTTGCTTTAATTCAATGAATGTCCACATGGTGGCAGCACAGCAACATCAATGAGATGTAAGCAACTTGTTGCACTGAGAGAGAGAGAAACCCGGAGCAGGGCTGCAGAGGTGATTACAGTTTCAACTAGAACTGTTGTAAAGTTCATTGCAATCAAAAATCTTGGATTTTTGTGTAGTGTTTTTTAAGGACTAAACTATTATAATATGCGTGCTGCTCAAGACTGAAATTGAAGTATGTTGCACATATGCACATACGGTACATGTGCAACATCTTTCAAAGGTTGCATTTGGTAAGATTTCAGAATTCAAATCCTTAAGTGAGGACATCACATGAGTCACAACAAAACCTTTCATGCATATTAAAAAGGATAAATAAATAAACTTAACAAATATATTTACTGTATGTCTCAATGTATTTCAATACAGTAAGCTGTGTGAAGGTAATTAAAAAAAAGAATTACCGCAAGGCAATCGCATGAAAATCTAAATTTCGTTTCAAAGTGAAAGTAAGGCTCAAGGAGTGATGAGAAGCATAAAATATTTGGTTGAGAGTATTGTTTGTACTGACAAATCTGAAACAAACTAAATATTTAAGACACACTTTGCATTTATTTGAGCACAACACATGGTTATTTTCAAATTATTCTAAGAGTTTGTTTACATTTCTAATTAAATAATTAATTTTTCAGTGAATGAATTGTAACCGTTGTATTTGGTACCCAGAGAGTGCTGCTGGTTCTGTGTTCTGGTCCTTGATGTACAGTATTTGGTGAATTTAGTGGACATTCCTTTACTGGTTCTTCCCCTGTGAGTCGCATTCGTAGTTCTGAATTTAAACTGACAGCCCCTGTGGAGGAGTTGGGAGACTTCCCCAGCCATCTGTCTTAGAGCAGCCCCCCTCCGACACCCCCTTCCCTCCCTCCACGCATCCTTCATTCCCACACTGGGCCTTTGTCAGCAGTTCCTGTCCCTGGACTAGGCGTGGCGTGCGCAGAG